AAATCCCTCAAATCAAAATCCACATCGGATGAATTGCAGCAGAATACAAATGAGGAAGAAGTGGCTGGGATTTCTGTTTTAATGAGGACAAAAACCTATCACCACATCTAACCTGAAACGCTTCATTTGATGCTGCCTGCCAGCCGGCGCTTCCCAGTAGAATTCCGGGGTTAAAATTGTGGAGTTTCAGCGCGGTTCGCTCAGGGCCCTGGCAACAAATGATGGCCTCCCTCCCACACCCCCAAACATTTAAACCCAGCTCAGTTTGCCCAAAGCAATCTCGACTCTGGAGTCGAAAGGTCATTTTAAATAAATAAAGAATGGGGAGATCACTAAGCATCCCACACACAGAGTGAGCAGCACTTTGAAAGGATAGCCAAGGCTACACCATTTAGCATTCAGTAGCCTGAAGCAATCCATGAGGCTGGCAGACTGAGAACAGAAAGTCAAAGTCCAGATTGACTCCCACTCACTTGCCACGGCTACATCAGTCACATTGCTCTTTCAGCTAAACTTCTGACCTGTTTGTCACTGCACCGTTTGCTGTTGTCAGTTACAAGGAGAGACGACTACATGGAATTAATTAGTTGCCGCAGGTTGCCACTGTTTTGACCAGCATTTCATTACAATATGTTCATAATTCCGTCACTCTCAACTCTCCCTAAGTTTCCATGAGAATAAGTTCTGAAGAGCAACACAGGTGATAAGACAAAGGACCAGGCATGAATACTTGAAAAGCTTCTTGAATCTTCCTAATGAAAGCAGTATTGGACTAGAGGAGCACACTCCCTGTGAGACCATGGAGACAAGATGACACACTAGATCAGTGGAACTTCTCGTTTTAGGAGCCGCTTCATGAGCCTTTAAAAGAAAACTCGACTGGATTTGCAATTTGTTATCACACCCAATCCACAGGAACACACACATATACACAGTCATGACCCACAGACTTCCAGGAGACTTACTCTGACCTTAGCCTAATCTTAATCTTAACCTAAACCTAACCTTAAAACATATCTTTAACGGTTTGTGTTATGGGGACCTGCTTTTTGTCATTTTTAGGCATGAGTACTTCTGCATACTTTCAAACAAACACACACACATCCTTGTATATATAGTGAGAACACTCATTGGAAAAATGAATTCCCTGGCTCCGCACCCTAACCTTAACAACCACATCTAAATGCCTAACCCTAACCAAAAGCTAATTCTAACCCTAACCCCAGTCTTAACCATCAAACAGCCCATGAGAAGTGGGTTAGAAAGTGAGGACTGGTCAAAAATGTCCTCACATTCTCAAAATGTCCTAACTTCTTAAGGCCTAGGCTCAAAGTTAGTACAAGTACACACTCCAAAATACAACCCCCAACAAAATATAATCTCCATTATATACACAAGCCAGGTGCACAGACGCAAACACACATCTCTTCAACCCTGACATACAGTATTTTTTGACACAGTAATTTTGGCATAGTTGCTAGTGCACACCTTCACACACACACACACACACTCACAGACTCGGCCTTTGTCATTGCAGGAGCCCGGCTTGTTACATCATCCAGAGGGAAGTTTATCAGCGACTGATCAGCAGCAGCCTGAAGACTCTCAAAGACTGTTTTGTCTTCCTCTTACCTGAAACTCCCTCATCCCACAGATTACCTTGCAGCTCTGGGTATTTGTTTACCGCGGCCTGAATTTTATCATGGATCCCTGCCATTGCTGAGGGGAAGTGCTTCACACGCAGTTTATCAGTGCCAGGTGAGTCACAGAGTTCACAGGTAATCCAGGTCTTTGCTTGGCCAGCATTTAAGGTTGTTTATTCAGTCAGGATGTCGATGAATTATAGGATACAGGTTATGATTTTATAATTTAATATAAATGACAAATAGGAGCTCAGGTCTTGTGATTTAGTGCAGTCGTCATTCATCCTCTTGCCAAGCATACAGAGCGAATAAATGTGACTCATAGTTTCCTCACAGCAATATTATATAGATGTGTTTCATTTTTCCGGTAGAGCTGAATGATGAAATGGGCCAAAGCTTTTCTATAAACAATAACAAACATGTGTTCTTCATGAAAACTAGCACACAAATAAGGAAGAAAGTGAACATGTCTTGTGACCTTCTTGAGTTCATATGAAAAGAATTAAGAACAATGTACGACACTATATTTCACAAGCAGTTACGGTTGGGTTGTCGCTCACATGTATTAACGCTGTTCAGTTCAGTGCAAAGCAGATTTTCCCAAAAAGTAAATACATGGCGAGAAGTGAGGAACCCAGAACTTATCGCTGTTCAGGAGTTCATTTCCAGAATTATCAACATTTGGTTGATAAAAGTTTTTTTTGTTACACTGAAGAAAAGACCAACAACAACCTCATATTGTGTAATTTGAGCAACTAATGAGTCATGTCCAGTCATCATCTCTGTTTGGATTTGGGCAATTTAGGAAAGTTTTTGCTCTGTGACTCTGTGATGAGATGGTCGTACATGAGAGGCACAAACTGTGGCTTCCAATATCTTGATGGTTAGTTTTACATTTTAACTTAAATTTTTATTTTGAACTTCAGTGTTTATGTTTGACATCAGCAGGTTGAAATGTTCCATCCCAGCCACTGTAGCTTCATTTCAAAGGAAACTAATGATGGAACACTGTTATTTCCATGAATGTTACATTTGTCCCTTCCTGCATTTTTCTCCTTCTGTCAGTAAAGCAATTTCCTGCTCCTACATGCTGACTGCATGATTTCATGTGAGGATGTTATTCTCTAATTCAAACTCACTGTTTGATTTTGGCAGATTACAAGGGGGTGTTTCACTATACAATCTTGCTTCGTCCAGCTTTTAAGGTTTCACAGCTGGCCAGGTTTCCTCGTCCTCTCATATCTCCGACCTGCTGCAGCCCCGTGAAGGAGATCGACCGCAGTATGATTGAAGAGGGGAATTTTTCTGGGGGTGGAAATATTAGAAGCGTACACAAGGAAGGATGAAGGAGTTGGAGTGAGGCGAAGCTCACTGGACTGACTCCCAGTCCTCACCACTGTCATGCAGAGACCACACAGCTGCAAAATGTTCCAAAACAGTTGGGATATAGGAGATAAACTCAGGGTATATGGTGCTTTTAATAGTGCGGCAGTAAACGCTGCAGTTGGTGCTCAAGCTACCTTCTCACCTTCAATTAAAAGAAATGTTTAATGATGTGGACAACCTGCGATACATTAGAAAAAGACACAAGCATTTTTCAAGAGAAACAAGTCCATTCAGATTATACACCGTCTCCCCCGGTTAACACAAACTTGTTTCAAGTGTCATTTAGCAAACAGACAGAGCAATTAAGAGAAAAGTCCCCGAGGCATAAACAAAAGCAAGGTTCTCAAAAGAGACGCAGCAGTGAGGAAACTCGAGACAAGGCGAATACAGCAGCAAAACACGCATGATATGTTTTCTTCTCCCAGTTTGCAAAACTTTCCTGCTTCATGCTGGATCACGCAGGACAACCACGGAGACGGGAGCAGCCCTCTGGAACAGCACCCGGCCTCCTCCTCAACAGCATATTCCGAGGATGAGCGCTGGCCAACCGCAGGATCCTGGCCGGTCTCCCAGCCAGCCCCGCTAATTAGTCCCCCTCTTCTGAGCTAATTGGCCGATAAAAAATGAGGATGGCCTCTTCACCCAGCCCGAGTGTTGTGCCACCAAACGGCAGCGGGGAGGATTATGCGGGCTTATGAGGCATGGTGACAACCACTCCTCCGCTATTAATTTCCCTGTCAAGAGGGTGTCCTCTGCTGTGTCACTTTGGTTTGTTAGTGGATACAAGAAAACTTCAGGCCGGGGTTGACTGTCAGCAACCTATCCTCATTACGTGCCCTCACCTCCTAACTGTTTTTACCGTGTTAGTTTATTCATGTGAACAGAGGCAGGGTCCTGTAGGCCATGACAGCGTTTCAACATGTTACAAGAAAATTGCACAGGGCTTATCTTACTCTAAGTGGCGTTTGGTTGTCTTTGCTCTGACAGGACCATGGGTTAGTGACTGTGGATTTCCATGAAAAGCTGTTTGACAACAGACCATGGAGCAAATTAAGTAAAGCCAGTGTTTTAAAAGAAAGACAGATGGGGCGTCCTGGTGGTTTGGGTTATGAGACATAACACCGTGAGACGGCACCATCCTCAGTTTTATTTTGAAGACCAACCGTCAAACTTGTTGGATGTAATACCCGCCCTCTCTTTCTCTCTATCTCTTCTAATTTCCTGTTTGCCTCTAGAGGGTTTCAATAAAGGCAAGAAATACAAACAATATGATGTAAGAAAAGAAAGAGCTAGAGCTTTTGCAAGCTATCGAAGAGAGAGAGAAGGAAAGAAAGAAAGAGTTTGAGTATTATTTTTAGCTTAATTGAGAAAGAACTCAACTGTAGTTAATATATACAGCTGCTCTTAAAACAAATAACCTTTCACTCAGGAGCAAAGGTCTCCAGACCCTGGTCACACATACACAATGCCAAGTGAACATCAGGGTCAAAGTTCACCAAAGTTGAACTACACCCAAAGCAATGCTGTGATTTGTCTCCCTGCAGGAAGCAAATGTTTTCAGAAAACACAAATAAAATAAGAGCAAAAGTAAAAGTAAAAGCATTTGGAAATGAACACAGTTCATAAAATCCAAAGCCAATAAATCCAATCAAACAAATGAAAGAAGTGAAAATAACAACTGGAGGTGACATAAGGGGAGATATAATAACTTAAATTACCATCGCAGGATAAATATGAGTTGATTTTCTGGTTGTTCTGGATGTTGTTCTGTGTTGCATGATAAGGAAACTGGATTTGCAAGCCCAGGAAAAACAGTTGGCACCGGCAGTGTAATCCAGTCATTTGAGCCCATTTAACATAACATACATGATAATTATCATGTTGCACTTTATTATTTTTTTAAACCACAACAGCTTTCACTTAATTAGCCAGAGCATTAAAAAAAAGAACTTTAAATATCTCCTCTACCATTTAAAATCATGAGATAAGATAAAACTTAATTGATCCACAAGCAGCAGACAGGTCACAATGAGGCAGGCAAAGAGAATGCAAATATAAAAAAAGGAACAATTAACCTTTCACTGTGTGAGGAGATATCGTGCAGATGACACCAAAGTGCAACAGTATATAAATTCTCTGTAAGAAATAGTGAAAGTCATAAAAGTAGAGCGACATGAGGAAACACCAGTGCAGCCTTTTATTCTTCAGCTTCTTCGCTGCTCCTCTTTTCTCTCTCCTCACATCGTCTATAGGCTCTTTCACAATTAGCCGGGATCATTTGCACATGTATGCGGGGGTGTGGGGGGGTGGAGGGGGGGACTCCGGTTATGAATGGGTGCATCTCCCCGCAGGTCCCGCCTCTTCCGCCCTGGTTTGCGGGCCAATCGGCGGCGGCGGTGCGCATGGACGGGACGTCGCGTCAGCTGCCGTCGTGTCGGGATTGGAATGTGAGCGACTAAACAATCGGAACAACTGAGCGCTCAGTGATCGGACGCCAGGATCCAGGAATCCCGTCGTTTTTCGAAAGGTTTTTTTTTTTTTCCCCTCACGTATTCGCACGAGCGCGACCTCCGCGCCCGCTCCCCCTCCGGCGTCTCCACCGGGCAACTCGGCGCGGCTGCGTGGCTCCACCGCCGCGGAGGCTTTTTTTTTTTTTTTGATTCAACGTGCGCGGAGGTTGTGAGAAATAAGAAGCAGAGACATGCAGGGATTCGTCAGGTTACACTTGCGCCGCTGAGCTGCTCCTGCTTCGCCTTTCGCTCGCCGCCTCTCCCCACACGGGACCATGGAGCGATAGAAGAGCGGGGGACTGGACGAATTCACCCCGAGGATCCGAGCCCGGCGGCGGCGGCGGCCACGGCCACAGCGACGGGGGCTTCTTGAGTTCCCCACCGGGGTTATCGTACCTTTCCGTCTGGGAGAGCCTCGGGGACCCCTGCCGCTGTTCATCTCCGAGGAGGAGTTCCCGGACAGTTTTCCATGTGAACGCCCGCTCTCCCTCGCACACAGGCGGGCTGAATGAGGCTGAGGACGGAGCTTCTGCCTAGGATTTTGATCCGAAAGGGTCCGGGCACCGCCGAGCCGTTTAGGTGCACCCCAGCCCCGCCGCAGGCTCCCAGCGACATGGTGAAACTCTACCGAAGAGGGAGGAAGGGGCAACACTTTTAAAATCGCCCACATGCACTGGATCAATTGCTGGATTTGGGAACCGAATACTCAGAAGGGGGGTTGGGGATCCGTGGAGGCTGCCGGAGGATGGAGCGGTGCAGCCGGGGTTGGTGAGCGCCTGACTTCGGGCCACTTTACATTTCTTCTTCCTAAACAACTCGCTCCCAGGACACATGCAGGCCAAAAAACGCTACCTGATCCTGCTCTCCGCTGGTGCGTGTCTGGTGCTTCTCTTCTACCTCGGAGGGATTCAACTTCCAGCGGCGAGCAGGAGCCGGCATGACCGCAGCCGGAATGGATACCGGCCGGACCAGCCCTGGCCCCACTTCTCCGACCCTTTACACCCTTTCCTGCCCTGGGATCAGACGGACACCGAGGAGTACAACGTGCACATATCTCCCAACCAGAAGAGGGACGTCAACACCAGTGTTTACAAAAGCAAACGGTGCCGCATGGACTCCTGCTTCGACTTCTCTCTGTGCCAGAAGAACGGATTCAAAGTTTATGTGTACCCGCAGCAGAAGGGGGAGAAGATCTCCGAGAGTTATCAGAATATTTTATCCGCTATCGAAGGGTCGAGGTTTTACACGTCGGACCCCGGACAAGCGTGTCTGTTCGTCCTGAGTCTGGACACTCTGGACCGGGACCAGCTGTCCCCGCAATACGTCCACAACCTGAAGACCAAGGTGCAGAACCTGCCCCTGTGGAACGACGGCAGGAACCACCTCATATTTAACTTGTACTCTGGGACGTGGCCGGACTACACGGAAGATCTGGGCTTTGACATCGGCCAGGCCATGTTGGCCAAAGCCAGCATCAGCACCGAGAACTTCAGGCCCAACTTCGACGTGTCCATCCCCCTCTTCTCCAAGGAGCACCCGCGCACCGGCGGAGAGAGGGGCTTCCTCAAGTACAACTCCATCCCGCCTTTCAGAAAGTACATGCTGGTGTTCAAGGGGAAGCGCTACCTGACCGGTATCGGCTCGGACACCAGGAATGCCTTATATCACGTCCACAACGCGGAGGACGTGGTGCTGCTCACCACCTGCAAGCATGGCAAGGACTGGCAGAAGCACAAGGACGCGCGCTGTGACAGGGACAACGCGGAGTATGACAAGTAAGTTCAGTCACTCAGGTGGTGGATTTGGGATTAAAGCGACTTTTACATGTTGATTTTTGGCTTTTACGCACAAAGTTGGTGCGTAAAGAGATGTCATCCATGTGGACGGTGCGTCAGGAGCGCATCCTTTAGTGTTCCCTTGGTGCATTGCATGTGTGTGTGTGTGTGTGCTCCTGTTTGTTACCTCTATAGGACTTTACCCAGTTTAAACACTGACCAGTGGACCCCATGGGACCAACGCCTGGTTCTAATGAGTCCTGGTTAAGTAGGATGTGAATCGTGGTTAGGTTATGGTTTGGTATGAGTGGCTGGTCATGGAGAAGGGATTGTTTTGGCTGCTGAGCAAACATACTGTACCTCTGCGGTTTATGGAGCAATTCAAATGTCCCTTCACTGTCCTTTCCAACTGAATAGTTTTTATCTCGTAAAACTTTGGATAGAAAGAATCACTTGTTTACTTCAGAAATCAAAATCTTTTAGATTTGAAAATCACACACATTAGTGTAGAAATCTGGATCCATGACAGATAAATTACAAATGACTGTGGGTTTTCTAAAACGATCCCTGACTGCAGGTCACAGTTAACCAGCCCCTTTATGTGCCACTACATGACTGGTTTTTACTCTCCACTCCACCTCCTCGCTCCCTCTGGAGCATGACATATAAGATCTCCAGTCAGTCTATTAGCTCCCTGGACATCCCCCGCTCCCCTCCCTCCTTCCCTATGAAGGAATCCAACCTCCCCCCCAGACCACCACCACCTTCCAGCTCCCCTCCATGGGAGCCTTTCTCCAGGATATGCACGGACATGTTTGATTTTGCACCCTGTGATTAGTGCAAATTAAGTGAAAGTCGACGGTGGGAGTTTTTTTTCATCCTCTCCATGAAATGAGTATCAGTGTTGCAGTGTGTCCTTGCTGTGACATCACGCTGCTTCCCACGCTTTCGGGAAGTTTACGCAGGATTGTAGTGTGTCGCAAGTTCGGCTGATTTAGTGCAAATAAATCAGATGTGATGGGTTGATCATTGCTTTCTTTTCCAAGCAAGGGTGCCATCGTCTCCACTCCAGCTGATAACCTGTAGCTTTGGGGGTCTCAGTTTTGTCAAGGTGGTAATTAATGACCCCCCCCCCCCCTTCGGATCCACCCCTGCACTTGAAGGTTTGGTATGTCTTAATATAGGCGGCGGTGTTGTCTGATGTTTACATAGCTGGATTACGTTGTGAACTCTGCTGTCAGGTTCACTGGTCTGTGAGTGACACGGGTTTGATCTGCGTTTATCAACCTGTGGATCCTTTACCGCTGCAAAGCCTGAATAAACCCAGGCATGTGTTAACAGCACTTCTTCCCCACATTGTTCCTCGAGGGTGTGTGTGCCTGTGTATGCACACTGCACGTCAAGGTTAAGTGAAAGGACAGACGAGGAGCATGTGGAAAGTTAACCTGCACATATTTCCATTCTGTCACACGGGAAGACAGAGAGAAGAAGAAGTGTGGCGTCGATTTAAAAAAGGGAATTTTTAACCCGACACATGTTGAGTTGAGAGAGCGACTTTCCTTGAACTTGAATTGAACCCAGAAACCTCCAGCTCCTCACAGATGAACTGTAATCCCGAAAAGGGAGCTCTAACAAAACTTCACAAGCACGCACTTGTCCGTCCATTCGTCATCCCTTTTTCCCCCTCTCTCTCTCTCTCTAACACGCACACTCATTCTCTCCCTCCGTCTCACTGGATGCCTTGGGCTCGGTGTCACCTGGAGAAATATGTCATCCATTATCTGGCATTCCAGTCATCATGTGGACGGCCCACCTCCGCTCACGGTTCTGTCTCCCGGGCCTTGTTTTCCCAGAAGTGGCCTCTTGTCTCTGGAACATCTTGATGCCACAATCAGCTGATTGACACAGCTGATCACAGCGGGTTCGTGGAAATCAGAGCGTTCACTGCCCACTCTTTCCACTGGTGCGTTTCACGGTTGATTTATTTTGATCAATACAGCCGCCCTGTTAGTCATTTCATTTCCAACATCGATAATGCATTTGAGTTCAGTCCCCACAAGAAGTCAATAAATCCAATTTTATTTTTACACAAGACTTTTACAGTGTTTAGCACACGGGGTTTGCTCTGGTTGCTTGGTTTCCTTTCGTTGTTGTTCTAAACATCTCGTGTAGAATCTGTTAGGTTGAGCTAACTTACTTCAGAATTAATCAACACAGTGGATCCATGAAGTTTTAAAGCATTTTTCCCCCTGTTATGATTTAGCAACCTGTTTAGATTTAATCAAGCTGATGGCTTTCATTTTAATCTAATTCAAATCCCATGTGGGTGCCAGCTCGTGCTTTCCAAAAACCCTGACATGGCTCTCTCTCAGATAAATGGATCTATATGCTGCAGGCCGGTCACCGTCAGCGCCCCTTTTTCCAGAGGTGGAGGCAGCGCCTTACGGGGACGCTGTGGCGCAGACTCAGGAATGCACACACGTGTCAAAGCAGCTGTTAGCGTTTGAGGAGGGAGCGCTGCCAGGGCAGGCTGCCCCCCCCCCCCGCGCAGTAAACGTACCTGGATGTTCTTTGAGCGCAGCTCGATGCATCGTTTGAAGGCAGAGAAATGGATGCAGTAAAACATAGGCCGCACTTGTTTGCAGTCAATACGCATCTACTCGCTGACCACGAACACACACACACACACACACACACACACACACTCACTGCCGTGGCTGGTGCTGCGTCCAGGCTCATCTTTGCCTCCTGACCTTTGACCCTGTTAGCTTCCAGAGGAATGCTGCTCTGCAAAGGAATGCAGCAGCAAGAGGTATAGACTGGAGGCCGGTACATAGGCACCTGAACACACGCGCAGCTCACTCTCTACACATTTATTCAATTGATTTTCTTAGCTGCAATAGCTTTCAATTGGAGTCACTCTGGTCCACTTCCATGGCCGAGCGCTGATGAAAGGCCCCATTCACTGCTATATTATCCACTCAGTTTTCAGGGCTGCAGACAATGATCCTGGAAGAGGGCAGTGAAAGCCTATTACGGGCTCACCAACTGAAAATGTTCACATAAGGTGGGATTTTGCTGTAATGCGATGCCCTGTGGTGACTTGTACGTACATTTTGTTCTGTACCTCTCAATGCGATATCAGTTATGGGAAACCAATTTCATACAAAGTCATGTTTGTGGTCCGCTAATTCCTATTTTAGTTCATCAAACTCGAGGGCAGGCATAGGTTGTTTTTGTCACTGATGTCTTTTGGCTGTATGTGACATTTTATGAAACCTTTCCTGTAAAATTGGGGGGGGGGGGTGGTTTTTTGATGACGTTTCTAACATGTGACTGAAAACAATTGAAATAGCTCAGGACGAGCTCAGTAAAAGACGCAGAAGAAGATGTCAAACTTTACATTCGAGATCGTTTGGAACCTTTGTGCTATAAACAAACATTGAGCTTTCTGCAGTGGAATTTATATTATGTCATGTTCTGCCTCCTGTCAGGTTGTTAGACATCAGACCCAGACAACCCCCCCCCCCCCTCAACAACATTCTTCATACGTAAGAGGCGAACTCCAGAAAATACCCAGACCCAATTTTATAGACTCTCCAGAGTTCATGTATGAAAGCAGCTTTTTTTTAATTACAACTTTATTTCTTATCAGTAATTCTGACGTTCCCTTTATTCTTTCTCTGTACAGCACAATGACAATGAGTGACTTCATATGTGTAACCCAACATTAAACCCACTCTGTCACTGCTCCACATTCCACTTCCCCGCAGATTATCCTGCAGATACCAAAAGTGCAGCCTCATCTCCTATCACAAGTCAACTGCTTAAAGTACATCATTATTACTGTTGAGTGTTCCATTAAAGTCCGACTGCACACATTCCTCCTATTTGCTCTTTGTTAAGTGTTTTCTCTGGCTAACGGCAGCGTCATCACCCCCCCATTTAATACTTAACCAGCTCTGTTGGCTCGTATTGACTTTGTACTTTAGCTACTTCACTGGCATCTGCCGCTCAAGGTCACCCGGGGGACTTGAAAACTGAAAAGAGACAGAGGGCAATGAAGATAAGTAGAGGGGGAGATTTAGAGAATGAGAGAGACAGAGAGAGAGTCGAGGAGATACTGAAAATATGCCAGTGTTCGAGCGTGCCTGAGAGTAGGAGTGTGTGGAAGGAGGCGAAGAGCGAGTGAGATTGAGTGATAACGGCGCCGGGCGCATGTTGGAGTGTGCTGCATGAGTTGGGATGAAAGAAATAGAGGGTCCGGAAAATAACGTGTGAAGTGGGATTTCTTTCCCCCTCATTAGGAGTCATTGACGTCGACGAAGCGCCGCGGCAATTTCATTTTCACAACTGCCATTAAAACAAAATTTGCCCACTTGAGAAAATCCACTAGGAGGCGTGAGGCAGGTGAGACAGAGAGAGAGAGAGAGAAAGGGAAACAGGCCAGATTTTGATTCTCCTCCTCTTTTTTTTTTGCTTTTCTTTCTGTTTCTACGTTTCCTCCCCTTGTTTTCTCTCCTCCCCCTCTCCATATCCGAGCAACATGGAAAGGCTGATGTGATTTGGCTGGAGATCTCCCCGCCACATTTCCACCGCCGTCATTTTCTTTTGTATTTTTTTTTTTAAGCCTGTGCTGTAGTCGACATTTTGTTGACACGGAGCAAGAGCCGGTAACTGATCTTCTGGGCCAAGTGAAGAAAAACCCGGCTAAACTTCCTCTCCACCTTATCTCGGTAAAACACCATCATGAGAGGAAACTAGGAGCAATCACCCGAACACCAGCCTGACAGTGGCCTGCCGTCGGAGGTCTGGAGTGGAGAACGCTGTACCTCACTGTTTGGAGGCAGAGGGTGTCACACTCTCTGGGTCGCCATTGTTTGTTTGTTTTTCTGTAGTCAGATTAATAAATCATGAATATTTCATGATAGCCTGCTCCCTCTTAGATAAAGCACCAAGCTCATGATGGAGAATGTTAATGATGTGGAGGATAATTAGTTTGAATGTGGTGCAGCTTAATTAGGACTCTTTGATATTTTGGTCTGTGTGAGAGACAGAGAGGATTTAAGTCCATAACTACATAAAACCTGTTTGTTATTTTATCAGATCAGATTTTCTCTCGTCCCCTCTGACTTTCATCGTCTCTGCCTCTTTCTCCTCTCAGTTTAATCTTCAGTGTTTGAGTTGCTTCATTGGTTTTGTCTGCGGTCAGTCAGACGGACAGAGGTCAGTGTGGAGTGTTTCCGACTCCTCCACATCTGGGATTTTCTCAGGCTCTGGCGACAAACTTTAGGCAACATACGGTTTAGGTTTAAGATGCTTTACGTCTGGCCTCCACAGTTTTTCTTGTCCAGTTTTAGTTTGAAAACTTGAACTTGATGATGACGCAGTCGACCACATTCACTTCCTGCTTGGTTTGCTGTCGTAGATGAGAAAACTGTATTCTAGACGCAGATACTGGTGTTTTTGGTGTTTTCATTCATGAAATTTCTCAGATGATGTTTGATTATTAAAACTGTGCAGATGTTAAGTTTCTGTCAGTTGATGAATCAGTTATTTCTCAAGTAATTGTAGCTCTACTAATCTCAGCTTTATACTCCAAGTTTACTTTGCAACTTATTTTCAGCTGTGGGTCTTTGTCTTGGTAGTACATGGGCGTGTGAATACAAGGGTGTGTGTGTGTGGGTGCGTGTAACCCCGCTGTCTGTCCCCTCGCTGAGTAACGAAGGCAAAGCCCTGCTCACTGACCCACATTCATTCAGGGATTACCAGCACAGCCAAGCTGCCCCTGACCTCGGAGGTGATGGTGGGGAGCAGGAGAGGGACAGAGTTGGGTGGGTGGGGGGGGGTGTTGGACGGGAGATCGACACACACAATGGATCAGACAGTGAAGCATCCTGCACCCCCTCCCAGGCCAGCAGCCGGCGAGTAGGTGCAGAGAGGCTGATCAGCTGGGAGGGTTCCCCCAAAAGGAAAATCGATGAGAGTATTAAAACAGCAGTGGTCTGGGCCCTGGAATCATTTCCTCTATTAAAAGCTGCTAGCTTCCACTCTGGAGGAAACAAAAACAGTCTGAAGGTTTGTTGTGCTGGTGGAAACGGAAATTGAAACAATGAGGAATAACAAGGCTTCAACGTGCGTTCCATTTTCCATGACTGTCAGGAAAAGTTGAAGAGGAATGACTATCAGAGACACAGGGACATAAGTAAAAGTTGTACCCCCCTCCTCGTCTCTTTCTCCGTCTGTCACTCTGAAAGCTCTCTCGTCCCTCACTAGTGCTGGACAGGGATGTAAAGTCTGTCGGCAGATCGGTAGGTGAGTGAGTGCTCAGTGTTTAGAAAGCTCTGACAGTGCAGAACAGACCGGAGCGAGGAAAAGAAGCAGATTGGTTCGTTGTGAGCAGAATTAAACTGGACAGGTATGTGACCGGCTGAGACAGAAAGCGATGATCAGGGCCGACACGTGATTGGCTTCTCATTAGATCCTCTGCTGAGGAGGAATAAAGCGACAGTATGGCTGCTGTCTGCAAGGTTTGGTGAGAATGTTAAGTTCTGTCATATGCAGGGTTTTTTTGGAAGCACAGAGATGAACTATTAAAAAAAAAATCACGTCTCATATCTCGGCTTTCTCCGTGTGGGAAGGGGCATGCTGGGACGGGGCACCGCCGCTCTGGGCGTACATTCCCTTCTCCATCATTCCTGCATTCCCCCGTTCAGCGGTGTGCCGCGTGTGTTTTGCCATCGGCCCCTTGGAATTTGTATATTTACAATCAACAATAGTGTTTGCTATATATCTAATTCAAACCTTTCTGAACTCGGTGGGTTTCCACTCTGTCTCATTGTGACAAACCCACAGAGAATTATCTGTAACATCAGCTCCTTAGACCCTTTTAGTATCTTTTAGTTTTACATCCAGCAACTTTATTATTCTCAAACATCTTCCCAAGATCTTATCAGAGCAGTTTTTAGTTTTTAGTGCCAAAAGTCACAGATATTGAGATAAACTCCGCCGTCTGTGTTCAACGTAACATTAAACCAGATCAGTTTGCAGCAGGCATCGATAAAGTTCTAACTAAAAGAGACAGTTTCTTTTTGTCTTCTTGTTAGAAAAGTCAGTTCTAAGTAAAGCTGTAAATGAATTAAATCACTTAATCAATTACCTCTATGCAAGGCCTTGATTTACCAGTGCAGTGGTCTTCTCTTCACCCCCCCACAATGGTGAAGCGGACGCAGGATTCGCTTTGAGTGAATGAGGCTGTATTTATACGGCCGTTATCTCTCTACCACTGAACTGTGGAGCGCTGAGTGGGTCAGTGCGTGAGGGGTCAGGGTCTGGGTGTGCGTGCGTGTGCAGAGGGAGCGGAGGTTGCCGCTGGTTCCAGCGCTCTGGGGGATTTGTCCCTCTTCCTGAATGACTCTGCGGTCCCCAGGCTGTGGAGCACCTGACCACAGTTATCTCATCAATGAGGGGCAGTGGGCAGAAACGCTGGCCTATATCTTTCTGAGGCTGCTGTGGACACTGGTGCACTCACGCAGAAAGCATCGTAAAAACATGGTCGTTTTCCTCCAGATAAGAAAACTGATTAGAACGTAGTCCATCGACATTGTCAGCAGCTGTTACAGCGCTTGACTTCAGTGAGCACTGTGACTCCCTTAGGGTGTTGCAGCAGGAAAGAGGGAAGGTGCATGGGGGAGTAGCTAGTTTTTATGGCCCCGCAGAATGACAGCTTTTATGGCCCCAAGAGGCCGTTCAGCAAACACCTACCGACGGCACATCAATGGGACAGCAGATCTTTGACGTCAGTTTGCACGCTGACCTCCCTCCTTCACTTCTCACCACCAAGAGAGCGAAAACAAACACTTAACCCCACTGCTGGTATTCATATTCAAATAGTAATTGGCAAAAGGGGAAAATCTGAGTATGGTCAAAGAGGAGGAGGAGGAGGAGGAGGTGGTGGTGGAGCTGAAGAGGGCAAAAGCTTAAAAAAGCATTATGTCACTGAAGAATGTGTGCATGGCTGAATGTTTGAGGGGCCACGGCTTCGCACAGAGGCATCGCAGCCTCCCCATATGGTCCCCTCCTCTCATGTTTCACCCCTCTCCATCAACCCAGACTCTCCTGCTGCTGTGGCCTCTCTGCCGCACGCAGCTCCTTCCCTTTTGGTTTTGAATCCTGGGCGACAACTGGAAACAATGGCTGCTCGCACAAGCTCCAGCCATCGACAACCAGGGCCTGGTTTGGCAGATTCCACGACACTTCACGGATCAGGGGCTAAGCCAAAACTAACGAAGTAGGAGGAGGCGGCGGGTAGATGGTTACAAGGGCAGAAAGCATCTGGTCACACCACGAGAGTCTCAGTATAACCAGAGTGTGGGTGCATGATCGAAAAGAGAGAG